CAAAATGACATGTCGAAATACATGACTTTTTCAGTCTATTTGTAAAGTATTTGACTGTAACATATCCAATGCTTATCAACGGTGGAGCAATAATCAAATATTGTGTATGGAGACATGGACATATTTTACCAACCTTCATATCCAGTACAGCTGCAGGTATATCCTATACAACTGTGGGTATATCCTATACAACTGCAGATATATCCTGTACAATGGTTGTAGCCACACTGGTTGGCGAGAGAGGCACCTGCCTCTTCACATGTCGTAAGGCAGTTATCACATGCCTTGTGCTGCATGGCTGACTGGGAAAGGGTTAAGGTGTTCGTATACACCCGTTGCCCCGGCCCCCAGGTTGAAGGGATTTGCCCGTATCAGGGGCAGGCACCTGTTGATAAGTTGGAGAAAGTTGGGACAGGGAGTGAGTGCTCTCTGAATCCCTTCTTTGGGCAAATGGGTTTTTGAAGAGCTTGGCCGCATCTAAATTGGAGGTCATTTTGACAATATACATGTTCTGCACTGATTACCATCCTTACAATCACCTGAAAGACACATCCTCTGAGGTCGATTTTAAAAACAATTTATTTCAAACATAATGGGTTGCCATCGCTGAGTAGATTCTCTATAGATGATGTAGATTGAAGAAGAACACTCATGGCTCAATTTAGCCATATAAGACACGCACCAGTGCAACCTATTATTGAAAAATGTAACCTAATATTAAGTCTACTTGCATCAACTGCATGTAAAATAAATTCATATTTGTGTCTGGCTGTCTTTAGTTTTCGACACAACAATGATCTTTGAACACAATCACTACCTCTTGGCTTTATTTACAATACTACATCACTGATCCCTTTGTTACGTGTACTTAGTCATGCTTTCTGGGGCATGATGTCATCAAATTGTGGGTACTTCAAGATTATGTGCACATCCTCCCATTATGTTTCATAACAATACATCCTCAATGTATGCAAAATCATGTCAGTCATTGGAGATCTCAGATTGTATGTATTTAGACTATAGTCTGGAAGGTAATTTAAGGTACCGACATTTACTACAATATCTGAAAAACTATCGGACCTACTCCAGTCAAAGTTGGTATGAGATTATTAAACAGTCATCCATAACTGGATATTACATTTAAAGACAATCGGTGCATGAATAAAAAATCTGTCTATTTAGCTATCACTATATTTCATCAACAACCAGACCTGTTCGTCACGGGTGGAACGAGCATTCATTGAAACAGCCATCTGCATAATTCTACCCCTGCATCACAGGGCCATATGACACAGTTGAACCAATCAACTCAACTTGAAAGGGTGCACGGGAATCGCGCACGCATGAATATGGTGTTAGCGTTGGGCGTCTTAACGTGCGTGATTCTGACTATAATTTATGCAACTGTTTTCAACTTTGATAGGTTTATGGGACCAGGGTACAACCTGGTCTTGTCAGGTGCAACTAGGTTTTCATGTCAACATGCACCTGGTACAAGTAAGTCGAGCCCTGGCACTTTTAAGGCCAATGATTGCTTATGAACATAAAAAGTCCTTTCCCCTGTTCAGCCGATCATCCTTTTAGTGTGGGGTAGCCTAGTGGTTAAAGTGTTCGTTCGTCATGCTGAAGAACCAGGTTCGATTCCCAACATGGGTACAATGTGTGAAGCCCATTTCTGGTGTCACCAGCTGTGATATTGCTGGAATATTGCTAAAAGCAGCGTAAAACCATCCTCTCTCGCTCACTCACTCCTTTTAGTGTATACTGTGATTTTAAGCATGTCTGTAGTTAATTGGCATGAGGGGGGCATGGGTGGCCCAGTCGTCTAAGGCGCCGCAATTCACTGTGAAGAGTTGTGAATACCCGTGCTCGTGGGTTTCACCGAAGTGGTAAACGTCTGTAAACAGCATGTATTGATGTAACAAATGTTACAAGAAATTAGCTCCTCCCCAAAATATTGAAATAGACCTCAAACCATGTTGTTAACATCAACAACACCAGGGTGGTACCAGATAAGGGGTTAACGTCTCTGACATTAACATCGACAACACCAGGGTGGTACCAGATAAGGGGTTAACGTCTCTGACATTAACATCAACAACTCCAGGATGGTACCAGACAAGGGGTTAAGATCTCTGACATTAACATCAACAACTCCAGGGTGGTTCCAGACAAGGGGTTAACACATCTCTGACATTAACATCAACAACTCCAGGGTGGTTCCAGACAAGGGGTTAACACATCTCTGACATTAACATCAACAACACCAGGATGGTACCAGACAAGGGGTTAACACGTCTCTGACATGAACATCGACAACACCAGTGTGGTACCAGACAAGGGGTTAACACCTCTCTGACATTAACATCAATAACACCAGGGTGGTACCAGACAAGGGGTTAACACCTCTCTGACATTAACATCAATAACACCAGGGTGGTACCAGACGATGGGTTAACATCCCTGACATTAACATTTACAACACCAGGATGGTACCAGACAAAGGGTTAAGATCCCTGACATTAACATCGACAACACCAGGGTGGTACCAGACAAGGGGTTAACACCTCTGACATTAACATCAACAACACCAGGGTGGTACCAGACAAGGGGTTAACACCTCTGACATTAACATCGACAACACCAGGGTGGTACCAGACAAGGGGTTAACACCTCTGACATTAACATCAACAACACCAGGGTGGTTCCAGACAAGGGGTTAACATCCCTGACATTAACATCGACAACACCAGGGTGGTTCCAGACAAAGGGTTAACACGTCTCTGACAATAACATCGACAACACCAGGGTGGTACTAGACAAAGGGTTAACACCTCTGACATTAACATCAACAACACCAGGGTGGTACCAGACAAGGGGTTAACATCCCTGACATTAACATCGACAACACCAGGGTGGTACCAGACAAAGGGTTAACACCTCTGACATTAACATCAACAACACCAGTGTGGTACCAGACAAGGTGTTAACACATCTCTGACATTAACATCAACAACACCAGGGTGGTACCAGACAAGGGGTTAACACATTCATCGACAACACCAGGGTGGTACCAGACGAGGGGTTAACATCTTTGACATTAACATCAACAACACCAGGGTGGTACCAGACAAGGGGTTAACACATTCATCGACAACACCAGGGTGGTACCAGACAAGGGGTTAACACGTCTCTGACATTAACATCAACAACTCCAGTGTGGTACCAGACAAGGGGTTAACACATCTCTGACATTAACATCAACAAACCAGGGTGGTACCAGACAAGGGGTTAACACGTCTCTGACATTAACATCGACAACACCAGGATGGTAACAGACAAGGGGTTAACATCCCTGACATTAACATCGACAACACCAGGGTGGTACCAGACAAAGGGTTAACACGTCACTGACATTAACATCAACAAGAGTCATGACACTTTGTTAGTAATAAACATCTACATGCCCAAGAGGAAGGTCTCTTGTTTCCTTCGGCTACATTCATACACCATGGGTCGGACGCAAGCCGCGTTGATGAATATGGGCGGGACCATGCGTTGTCAAGATTGTACACACTTGTCTGAGCTTACCTCACCTGAGGTTATGAAATCTAGGCCATCACAATGACACCAGTTGAGTTGTGGTGCTGTTTACAGTAAACAAGATTTTAGGCTTATACATCTGACTGATAGTATTTCTTATTTAATAGGGGGGCACGGGTGGCCCAGTCGTCTAAGGCGCCGCAATTCGCTGTGCAGAGTTGCCTCTTTTGGTCGGGCCAGAAACCTATGATGGTGGGTTCGAATCCCGGTTCACCCCGATTATGTTTCTAGGTTTGTCAGCACCCTACCCGTGCTCGTGGGTTTTACCAAAGTGGTAAACATCTGAGACCTGCATCACTTTGGGCTTTCCTCCCACATTAAGCTGACACGCCGTGATGTAACTGGAATACTGTTAAAAGCGGCGTTTAAACCCACTCAATCTTAATTAATAGATTTTTCTGAGCCGATATTTTAAAATGACAAGTTGCAAGAAATGTGACTTGGTTCATCTGTACCTTGTTTGTTTGTCTGCTGTTTAACGCCGCACTCAGCAATATTCCAAATATATTATGGCGGGTTGCAAATATTCAAATCTCGGCCAAACAATCCAGTGATCTACATTGATACTATGATATGAACTGACCAGGGTTGCAAGGAATGAGGTTCATCTGTACCATGACTTGTTCCGAAAAGGGGGTAGGGTAGACGAGTGGTTAAAGTGTTCGCTCATCATGTCGAGACCCAGGTTCAAATCCCAGGTTCGAATCCACACATGGGTTCCTTGTGTGAAGCCTATTTCTGGTGTCCTCCGCCCTGATATTGCTGGAATATTGCTGAAACAATACTCACTCGCTCGTTCCGAAGAACCTATAAAAGTACACTTAAGGGCCTAGTGTCCGGAATCACATGATATTTATTTATTGAATCGGCACTCTTTGATCGGTGCACTTGCATAGATCCCTGACTCGAGATGCACCATTTGTCTTGTGCAGGATTAGCGTGTAAAATTTGGAAATCACGTGCAGAATATCGTCATTAGAATTAAGACACGCTGTGGTAACACTTGACTGATTGTTAGTTTTACACATTGGAAACATCTCTTCTTAATGTACAAGACCCGTGAAGATCCGGGGTAGAATAGGTCTTCAGCAACCCATGCTTGCCGTAAAAGGTGGCTATGCTTGTCGTAAAAGGCGACTAACGGGATCGGGTGGTCAGGCTCGCTGACTTGGTTGATGCATGTCATCGATCCCAATTGCGTGGATCGATGTAATGATATCAATCACTGGATTGTCTGGTCCAGACTCGATTATTTACAGACCGCCGTTAAACAACAAACCAACAACCAATCTTAATGTACATACTTCTCTTTATGTTGCTTTGGTTTGTGTTTCTTCTGGTGGTGAGTATGTTTTTTTATGATTACCCTCCTAATGAGTGCACGTATTGTGTTGTAGGTGAAGTCCCTCGGCATCACGCTATGGGAGGCAGTGTGTCAGCACCTGCAGCTTCTGGAAGCCGACTACTTCGACTTGGAGTACATCGACAATGGTGGACTCAAGGTCAGTGTCAGGGGAGACAACTACCCAAAGAGTTACTATTGATAGCCACACAGTAAAGTTTTCACATGAAATGTCTGCTGAACAATCTGCCTAAGGCGATGCAATTTGTTGTGGAGAATTGCATCCCCTGGTCGTGCATGAGTGAGTGAGTTGGTTTTAACGCCGCTTTTAACAGTATTCCAGTTATATCGCGCATTGTCAGCTTAATGTGGGAGGAAAGCCCGAAGTGATGCAGGTCCCATGCTTGCTGTACAAGGTGACTATACTTGTCTTAAGAGGCGACGATGCTTGTCGTAAGAGGTAACTAACGGGATTGGGTGGTCAGGCTCGCTAACTTGCTTGATGCATGTGATCGTATCCCAATTCGATGCACATGATGTTAATCACTGGATTGTCTGATCCAGACTCTATTATTTACAGACCACCGTCATATAGCTGGAATATTGCTGAGTGCAACAACAAACAAATACTAGAGATTAGTTAGAATATGACAACCTGGACTCCTGACTTCTTGATGCCATCAAGGGCCGTGGATTATTCCCTGTGTGTGTTTTTCAGTGTTGGGTCGACCGCCAGAAGCCTCTGCTGAAACAGCTGCCTACCCCAGACACACCACTTAGCTTCTGTACAAAGTTCTACACCCCAGACCCCGGTCTACTGGAGGACGACTTCACTAGGTGAGTGTGGGAGTGAGTAGTGAGTGAATGAGTGGAGGATCGGTTAGTGGGGAAAGACTTCACTAGGTGAGAGTGGGAGTGAGTGGGGGACGGGTTAGTGGGGAAAGTTTGGCGAAAGACTTCACTAGGTGAGAGTGGGGGACGGGTGAGTAGGGGAGGGAGGGAGGATGACTTCAAGGTGAAAGTGTCGGGAAGACTTCACTAGGTGAGAGTGGGAGTGAGTGAGTGGAGGATGGGTGAGTGGGGAAAGAGTAAGTCGGTGATGGAGGGAGGACAAGTTCACAAGGTGAGTAGGGGAATGGGTGGGTGAGGGAGACAAGCATAGGCAGATCTAGAGGGGTCCAGGGGGTCTCCTCCTCCTCCTCCCCCCACCTCCAAACGCATGCACGCACATTTGAAAACCAAATGTAGTGTGTATTAGGCAGTAACATTATCCAAAGGGAGAATTTTGACCCCTCCATTTTGAAAATGCTTAATCCGCCCTTTGCGAGCGTGGATGGGTGGGTGAGCAAGGGTGGATGACGTCACTTTGTTGTGGGGGGGGGGGTTGGGGAGTGAAAAGGTTGAAGTGAGTGACGATACTGTAGGCCAGGCTTTCACGTCCTGGTTCTGACAGTATCCCATCCCTGTTCACCTGTATAGATGTTTAATTGATGTTTGATTGCTAGTTTCTTACCTGTTCAGGTGTGTTTGTGTATTGTGTTTCAGGTATTTGTTTGCACTCCAAATCAAGCAGGATCTGTTGTCGGGGGTGATGCCATGCAGCGACAATACCGCAGCCCTTCTTGCTTCTTACATTGCTCAAGGTGAGGGTCACACACAAGCTGTAGCAACATCGCGTCGTAGAAAACAAGCTTTGAGGCCCGTAAAAAGTGGGGTTGCATCATAGTCAGCTCTCACGAGTTGTGTCTAGCTATCAGGCCTGGTACATCGCCACATATGAAACAAGGTTTTGAGGCCCGTAAAAAGTTGGGTTGCATTGTAGTCAGCTCTCACGAGTTGTGTCTAGCTATCAGGCCTGGTACATCGCCATATATGAAACAAGGTTTTGAGGCCCGTAAAAAGTGGGGTTGCATCGTAGTCAGCTCTCACGAGTTGTGTCTAGCTATCAGGCCTGGTACATCGCCACATATGAAACAAGGTTTTGAGGCCCGTAAAAAGTGAGGTCGCAGAGAGAGCGGAATGTCTGCGGTTCAGTGCCACCTACCTCATACCATCTCATTGAAATATGGTACTTGTTGTTACCCTGCCTGGTGCTAGCACTTAAGGGATAAAATGAGGTCTGGTCGGAGTCAGTATACTCTGTCTCAGTGGGGTATCCATGTTAAACTGTGGCATGGTATCTCAGTGGACAAGCACTATAAAACAGGCGTTAGTCCGGGCTAGTACAAGCAGCCACATGCACGCACGTGCTCACACACATCGTTAATGATAAATAAATTTTGTTAAAAACTATGATATATCTTCAAGTACACCATTAATTCAAACAATTTGAATTTGAAATGATTGTTCTGTTTTATTTCATTTTACAGCTGAAATCGGTGACTTTCTTGTCGACGATTATTTGGACCACACTTACCTGTCTTCCATGAAGTTTGTTCCCAGCCAAACTCCAGACCTCGAGGAAAAGATCATGGAGTACCATAAACAGCATATGTGAGTTGTCTCCCTTTCCTGAAGGATATCTCCTAAACAGAAGTCTCGCTATTTAGTTGTCTCCCTTATCCAGCAAGGCCTTCCTGGGAGTTGTCTCCCTTTCCTGAAGGGCATCTCCTAAACAGAAGTCTCGCTCTCTAGTTGTCTCCCTTATCTAACAAGGCCTTCCTGAGAGTTGTCTCCCTTTCATGGGAGTAGTCCCCCCTTAACTAGCAGTAATCATTTTCTTTCACAGGATGTATATTTTGGCAGGTCTAGTCAGACAGAGATTTAGCCTGACTGCAGAATGGAAGAATTTTGCAATCTAATACTGCTGACTTAGTGAAACTTTTTGCCCTGACTAAAACTGTTACAATGAGTGATCAATTTGTTTGTGTGTCAGTGTAGCCAAGTGATTGTTTTTGTTGCATGTTCCAGAGGAGAGAGTCCAGCAGAGGCTGACCTGAACCTGTTGGACACAGCCCGGAAAGTGGAGCTGTACGGCATTAAGATGTTCCCAGCCAAAGTATGTTCTAGAAGCACCTTCTGATTTATCTGAGCTAATGACACAATCGAATGGACATTCAACCTTTGTTACAATGGTAGCAAATTCTGTGTGTATATAACTAACACTGTTATCAAGCAGGTGATATTTATATGCTATACTCAATGATCTTAGAATTGAATTGATCAGCCAATTGAATGTTTTCTTTTTGTAATCAAATAAAGTTGAACAATAAAATGAAATTCTCTGAAGTATTTACCATAGATTAATGCAATTAAGATATGGGCTGGCTGTGTGTTCCCTGAATCAATGAAAGCAAAATATGGGGGCGGAGGGGTAGCCTAGTGGTTAAAGCATTCGCTCATCACGCCGAAGACCCGGGTTCGATTCCCGACATGGGTACAATGTGTGAAGCCCCTTTCTGGTGTCCCCTGCTGTGATATTGCTGGAATGTTGCTAAAAGAGGCGTAAAACCATACTCACTCACTCACTGAGCCAAATATGACACAGTCTTACCACCAATCTCACCCCCATCCCCCACCCACCCTATTAATGCTGAGTCTCTTTCCATGGTAGTCGACCCGTGAAGATCAGGGGTAGAATAGGTCTTCAGCAACCCATACTTGCCGAAACTGATGACTATGCTTGTCGTAAGAGGCGACTTAGGGGATTGGTGGTCAGGCTCACTGTCTTGTTTGATGCATGTCATCATATCTCAATTGCGTAGATCGATGCTCATGATATCAATCACTGGATTGTCTTGTCCAGACTCGATCATTTACAGACCGCCGTCATATAGCTGGAATATTGCTGAGTGCAGCGTTAAACAACAAACAATCAATCCATGGATCTCGACTTTAAGAGAAAGTAAGAAGTTGTCTTTATGAACAGGGGACATTGGTGGCCCAGTCGATTTGCTGTGCAGAGTTGCGTCCCTTGGGCACGCCAGAAACCTATGATTGTGGGTTCGAATCCCGGTTCGCCCCGATTATGTTTCTAGGTTTGTCAGCACCATACCCCTGCTCGTGGGTTTCACCTAAGTGGTAAACGTCTTAGACCTGCATCACTTCGGGCTTTCTGCCCACATTAAGCAGACACGCCGTGATATAACTGGAATACTGTTAAAAACGGCGTAAAACCCAACTCACTCACTCACTCACTCACTCACTCTTTATGAACACTAGTTTCACTCTTTTCTTCCTGTTTCAGGATCACGAGGCTGTCACGCTCACTCTCGCCGTAGCACACATGGGCGTACAGGTGTTCCAGAACGCAACAAAGATCAACACATTCTCATGGGCAAAAATCCGCAAATTAAGCTTTAAAAGGAAAAAGTTCTTGATAAAACTACACCCCGAGAGCTATGTGAGTAAGGTACAGATATCGTGTTCCAGAGGTACAGGGATAACTTCGCTGCATCGTTACACTGCATTGTGGGATAACTACAACTTCCTGTCACATGGTAAAATAATCTAAACATCAAGGCAGATCGCTATCATTTAAAATCATGTTTATAACTTAAAATATTTCTCTCCATTGTTCAATTGGTCAATTATTCTTGATGTTTGACTTCGTTATTTCCAAATTTGAATTCGGTGGCCAATAGTTAAAAAACTGCTTGGAAACAATGGTGAATAGCAATACAATACTCCCATTGTCTAAGGTGGTCTTGTTCTACAATGTGTAGGAATGTGTAGGAGTTGTAGGTGTTCTACAGTGCAGTATAGGGGTATAGGAGGTCCTGTTTATGAAGGTGAATACCATGTGTTGTTGAATGCTGAACATTGAGAGAACATTATCCACTACACAACCAGATTCAGCAGATCAAGTAAGTTTCTAGTAGTGTAGAAGGTCTCATCTGTGTCAAAAACTCACAGAGCCACAGGTTCTCCTGAGATTTAAGGCGCCATCGTACTGTTATCATCTTTTTTCCCTGTTGGAATCTGTGATTATCAAGTGTGATATGTTCTCCATGCCTGGAGCTGTATTTGACTTATATTGCTAAGAAGACTGTGTGGAGATTCTGGGTTAGGATAGATCCCACGGGTGCCGTTATACAGAGCGATCTTAGCGCTAAGGTGATTGTAACTCCCATACCTTAACATGGACTTACGACAATCGTAGCGCTGGGGTTGTTTCGTACAATGGCACTCAGGGCTCTATTCCTCACAGTGATCTTAGTGCTACGATTGTCGTAAAGTCGATTGTTAAGGTGTGGAGTTGCGATCATCTTAGCACAACAATCGCTTTGTGAAAAAAGGACCCTGCAATCTCTTTTCTGGCACTTACAGGCAGTGTTGTATTGCACTCATTCACTCTCTATTCCATCTACTCCATGGTCTAGTAGATAAAGCATCTGCTTGGAGAGCGGAAGGTTGGTGGTTAAATCTCCGGCCGCGTCCTACCAAAAAGGTTCAAAGTTAAAAGCTGTCTCAGTAGGCTAGATTGGTCAGGACTAGTACAAGCATCAACGACCCATGAAGATCTGGGATAGAATAGGTCTTCAACAACCCATGCTTGCCGTAAAAGACTATGCTTGTCTGAGAGGCGACTAACGGGATCGGGTGGTCCGACTCACTGACTTGGTTGATGCATGTCATCGTATCCCAATTGCTTGGATCAATGCTCATGAGGTCAATCACTGGATTGCCTGGTCCAGACTCGATTATTTACAGACCACCATCATATATTTGGAATATTGCTGAGTGTGGCGTTAAACAACAAACAAAACGAGCATCATCACACCACAAACAAACAATCAAACACTAACTCACATCACTATATGATTGTAATGATGTAGAACATAATGTTAACCCCACTTCGTCTCACCACCTCACCGTTCCATCAACTTTGCCCTGTTCCCATCCCCACATGACACGGTGTTCCGTCTTGATCTGTGGAACGGGATGTCCTGCTGGTAATGTCAGACATGAGGACTATCATGACATGGCGTTCCGTCTTGCTCTGTAGAACAGGATGTCCTGCTGGTAATGTCAGACATGAGGACTATCATGACATGGCGTTCCGTCTTGCTCTGTAGAACAGGATGTCCTGCTGGTAATGTCAGACATGAGGACTATCATGACATGGCATCCATCTTGCTCTGTGGAACTAATGTCCTGCTGGTAATGTCAGACATGAAGACTGTCATGACACAGCGTTCCGTCTTGCTCTGTGGAACGTGATGTCCTGCTGGTAATATCGGACACGAGGACTATCGGACATCTGTTCACAAAGCAGACATTAAAGTGTTATGTTTAAATCCCTTTGCTGAAAACAATTGATGCACCTGTCATTCTTGCTGGCCTTGGTGATATTGATTATCCTAAATGTAACTGTTTATCATTTTAACTTGACAGAACGCTGATTGCCATTGATAATTTTTCAAAGAATCCTGCATGCATGAATCAAGAATGACTTATCTCCCCTTGACACCTTCATTCTACATTGCACGAAATCTGATCTATGCTGATGTGTGCAATAAATACTGTTTTCATGTAGAGGTGAGCTACAGTGCCTTATTGCCTGCTCTCACAAGGACCCACTTGCACAACGCGATCTTAGGGCTAAGATGATCGTAACTCCCATACTTTAACATAGGCTTACAATAGTCTTAGCGCTAAGATCGCTTTGTGCAAGTGGGCCCATAGCATGAACTGTCCTTTAAGGCTTGGCATGACCACAATATCATTGCATATCCAATTTGATGAAGGATTAAAATAACAAACCTCCCAGTGTTAATTAACATAGAGAACCAGGCTTTCTGTTCTTAAATGTTTATTTTTGTAATTCACCTATTTTGATTAACTTTCTGTTCTCATTTTTATGTTGTTTTTTATCATTTTTTTATGAACCTTTTCACATCCAGGTTAATGGAGCGTGGGTATGTTGATTAAAGTGTATCACTTTGTACAACTTTGTTGCTTTGGCAATACTTCAGAAGTGATATAACTGGCTTATCATATGACTGAATAACTTAAGTAATTTTCTAACTGGATAATGATATGTACACACTGACTACAATAAGGATGCATTCACTCAATAACGAATAACAATAGTATAACTCTATATACATCGTTTTCAAAAGAACAGTTTGTGGGATTAAAATAAGCTTTGGCAATATTTCTGCTCTATTTTCACTCTGCCAGTTCAGTTACAAAAAGAAAACAAAAATCCGTTTGAGGTTTATTTGAACAGAATGTTCATCAGAAGGGATTCTGTTACTTTATCCTTTGATACACTGTAGAACTTATCCCTGTATCTCTTGGTTTGTAGTTCCTTAATAGCTGTGTCAAAAGGCAATGTGACGTTTTCCAGCAAACACATTTTGTAAGACAATCTACAAAATTCTTTTTACTCAGCAGTCAAAACTGACCATTTTCATATTTATTCGTATGTGTAGTTATCAGTTTGGTATCTTGGGAATAAAAGGATATTTAAAAGTATATTTGTGAAAACTAGTTGTAAGGAATGTGAAAATGACAGACTGCCTTTTGACATGTCCTTCCGATAAAACACCTGACCCTGTCACTGACATTTGTTCAGCTCCATCAATCAAACAGTTGTCGTTACGGACATTAAGGAAATTAAAGTCTTTGCTTTGCTTTTGGATTTACTCAACATGTGTGTGTCCTTTATATGGATTTGTAATTTGTCAAACTGAAATTGTCTTTTTCGGATATGTTTGTGTTTGTGGCAATTTAAGATGTTCAATTGAATTAATTAAAGTAAATTTAATTTGATAAATTGTAGCATTATGTTTTATGCTTTGGACAACGTGAGGCTGTATAATTAGGTTTGAAGTTTGAACAGAGGACAAGAAGTTTGATTGATGTAAGTTTGACTGACTTGTCTGAAGGTTAACGAAGTCACTAATCTCATGTTAACAATTGCATAACAAGATTCCAGTATTAGAGAATCAAAATGTCGGCAATGTGTGATACGGCATCAGTTGGTCACAAGGTGATGCTGATTCTGCATCTTTTTACCACAACAATGTGCAATGTTGCTCATGATATTGACAACTGGTTCCCAGGCCCAGGCTCGATAAGTTAGCTGCTACAGCTGGAATATTGTTGACTGCAGCATCAACCGAAACTCTCACTAACTGTTTGTTAATCTCACAACTAATATCCAATAAAGCATGCTGCTGTTTCTCATAGTTCTATACAGTTAAACTATCAAACATTAATCATTCTAAAGTTAATATATATATACAAACATCTTTTCAGTAAACGTCAATGACATTATGGTGTAAGCAGAATTACAATATTCAGAATTGATACGATTGTTTTAAGTGATATCGAGTTAGCCCAGTGGTCAGTGATCTCACCTTTATGCAGTAGACCTTGGTTCAAACCCAGCTTTGACACAACTGTGAAGTCCATTGTTGTTATTGCCTGTAGTATATGTGGCTTAGCTATCATGAATATCCCACGCTCTTCATATTGTGTTGGGCCAGGGTGGTCCCACTGTGGGCTTTCTCTGACATTGAACTGACATATCACAGAATAGGTCTTCAGCAACCCATGCTTGCCGTAAAAGGCGACTATGCTTGTCGTAAGAGGCGACTAACGGGATTGGGTGGTCAGGCTCGCTGACTTGGTTGATGCATGTCATCGTATCCCAATGGCGTAGATAGATGCTCATGATATCAATCACTGGATTGTCTTGTCCAGACTCAATTATTTACAGACCACCGTCATATAGTTGGAATTTTGCTGAGTGTGGCATTAAATAACAAACAAACAAACAAACAATCATGATATAGCAGTACGGGAACAGCCATTGGATAGTCAAGAGGGGGAGGGGTATGAGATTTCTTTGAAGCTACATAGAACAAAATAATTTCCTTGCTTTCTGTCACTCCTCCCCCCAACCCCCCAACCCCCCACCTCGGAATTTAAAAAATTGGTGGTCCCTAATCTGTTTGAAGTAAGAGGGGTCTAAATTGATCAGGTGGTCAGGCTCGGTGGCGTGGTTGATTGTGTGCCACCAGCAACCTATGCTTGTAAGAGGCTGCTAATATATCAGGTGGTCAGGCTCGGTGGCGTGGTTGATTGTGTGTCCCCAGCAACCTATGCTTGTAAGAGGCTGCTAATATATCAGGTGGTCAGGCTCGGTGGCGTGGTTGATTGTGTGTCCCCAGCAACCTATGCTTGTAAGAGGCTGCTAATATATCAGGTGGTCAGGCTCGGTGGCGTGGTTGATTGTGTGTCCCCAGCAACCTATGCTTGTAAGAGGCTGCTAATATATCAGGTGGTGAGGCTCGGTGGCGTGGTTGATTGTGTGTCACCAGCAACTTATGCTTGTAAGAGGCTGCTAATATATCAGGTGGTCAGGCTCGGTGGCGTGGTTGATTGTGTGTCCCCAGCAACCTATGCTTGTAAGAGGCTGCTAATATATCAGGTGGTCAGGCTCGGTGGCGTGGTTGATTGTGTGTCCCCAGCAACTTATGCTTGTAAGAGGCTGCTAATATATCAGGTGGTCAGGCTCGGTGGCGTGGTTGATTGTGTGCCACCAACAACCTATGCTTGTAAGAGGCTGCTAATATATCAGGTGGTCAGGCTCCGGCTCCTCCAGAGTTGGACATTGCTGATATTATCATTCACTGGTTTATCTGGTCCTGACTTGATTATTAACAGGCTACCGAGAGATAGTATGGCTAAATCATGTTTAAACCATGACCCAACCCGTGAAGATCCAGGGTAGAATAGGTCTTCAGCAACCCATGCTTGTCGTATAAGGGGACTATGCTAGTCGTATAAGGGGACTATGCTTGTCGTAAGAGGTGATTGGGACCGGGTGGTCAGGCTCGCTGACTTTGTTGAAGCATGTCATCGTATCCTAATTGCGTGGATTGATGCTAATGATGTCAATTACTGGATTTTGTGGTCCAGACTCGATTATTTACTGACCGCCGTCATATAGCTTGAATATTGCTGAGTACGGCATTAAACAACAAACAATGATCATGAATGGCCACTGAGTGCTGTGTGACTCATCCTGTAGTAGGCTGATGCTAAATCGAGATGACACGGAAGTTTACAGGCTCCAATTCTGTTGACTTTCTCATAAGTGAAATGTCAGCTCTTGCAATGACAGCATGATAGCTCCAGCCTAAATTACAGTCAATCAAGTAGGATTTGTCCCAGTGGTAATGACCATCAGAGAGTCTCGAGAACTTTGACAGTCGGAGATTTAATAATGGGGGTCAGACTGGGAAAGCATGAGTCAGTCTTCATGTCGGAATAGGGGTGGTCGGATAGCCTAGTGGTTAATGCGTTCGCTCGTTACGCTGAAGACCCGGGTTCAATTCCCGGGTATAATGTGTGAAGCCCATTTCTGGTGTCTCCCGCCGGGATATTCCTGGAATATTGCTAAAAGCAGCGTAAAACCATACTCACTCACTCACTCATGTCGGAATATCTTGTACCTGCTTTTTGCATGTTTTCTGTTAGCTTTTTGTGTGTCAAGACCTCAATCAAATATATTTCATTGCACATATTTTGTTCTTTGAGCCATAATAGAGAATTGATTTCAATATGTTTTGTGTTTATGGAGGTATAAACATAAAATCCAGTGGGCACTGTATATAAATTGGCATATTTGTTGTTAAATAAGTCAGCAATAATAACTTCGCAGGCTGCATTTTTTAAATCAGTATCATCAAAAAGACTGTGTACAGGATACGAAGTCATTGACATCGTTCAGTGTAATAATGGGGGCGGTCAGGTAGCCTGGTCGTTAAAGCGTTCACTCGTCACACCGAAGACCCGGGTTCCATTCCCGACATGGGTACAATGTGTGAAACCCATTTCTGGTGTCCTCCGCCGTGATATTGCTGGAATATTGCTAAAAGCAGCATAAAACCATACTCACTCACTCAATGATGTAACACAGGCCTTCCCATTCTATTGTCAGCCAATTAGGTAACAGAAGGTCAGCCAGTCAAATGTCATGGAATCACTTGCAATGTTTTTAGTTATTTCAATTGGTGAGAACTCAGTAGGTTAAGCCACAATTACTTCAAGTTAAAGAGCCTGTGGAGATTGTAGGATAGGTTAGACCACAAGTACTTCAACTTAAAGAGCCTGTGGAGATTGTAGGGTAGGTTAGACCACAAGTACTTCAAGTTAAAGAGCCAGTGGAGATTGTAGGGTAGGTTAGACCACAAGTACTTCAAGTTAAAGAGCCTGTGGAGATTGTAGGGTAGGTTAGACCACAAGTACTTCAAGTTAAAGAGCCTGTGAAGATTGTAGGGTAGGTTAGACCACAAGTACTTCAAGCTAAAGAGCCTGTGGAGATTGTAGGATAGGTTAGACCACAAGTACTTCAAGCTTAAGAGCCTGTGGAGATTGTAGGATAGGTTAGACCACAAGTACTTCAAGTTAAAGAGCCTGTGGAGATTGTAGGGTAGGTTAGACCACAAGTACTTCAAGTTAAAGAGCCTGTGGAGATTGTAGGGTAGGTTAGACCACAAGTACTTCAACTTAAAGAGCCTGTGGAGATTGTAGGGTGGGTTAGACCACAAGTACTTCAAGTTATAGAGCCTGTGGAGATTGTAGGGTAGGTTAGACCACAAGTACTTCAACTTAAAGAGCCTGTCGAGATTGTAGGGTAGGTTTGACCACAAGTACTTCAAGTTAAAGAGCCTGTGGAGATTGTAGGGTAGGTTAGACCACAAGTACTTCAAGCTAAAGAGCCTGTGGAGATTGTAGGGTAGGTTAGACCACAAGTACTTCAACTTAAAGAGCCTGTGGAGATTGTAGGGTGGGTTAGACCACAAGTACTTCAAGTTATAGAGCCTGTGGAGATTGTAGGGTAGGTTAGACCACAAGTACTTCAACTTAAAGAGCCTGTCGAGATTGTAGGGTAGGTTTGACCACAAGTACTTCAAGTTATAGAGCCTGTGGAGATTGTAGGGTAGGTTAGACCACAAGTACTTCAAGCTAAAGAGCCTGTGGAGATTGTAGGGTAGGTTAGACCACAAGTACTTCAAGTTAAAGAGCCTGTGGAGATTGTAGGGTAGGTTAGACCACAAGTACTTCAAGTTAAAGAGCCTGTGGAGATTGTAGAGTAGTGAGTAAGTTGGATTTTTGGAATAGCAGTATTCTAGCAATATCACGGCGGGGAACATCAGAAATAGGCTTCACACGTTGTACCCATGTGGGGAATCGAACCCGGGTCTTCAGCATGAAGAGCAAACGCTTTAACCACTAGGCTACCCCACCGCCCAGATTTTAGAGCAGATTAGACCACAAGTACATCCAAGTTAAAGAGCCTGTGGAGATTGTGGAGCAGGTTCGCTGGGAAGTGTGGTCACATGGGAATATTCATGCACTGATCGATGTTCACCCCATCAACCACAGGTTAGCCGCAGCTCACATTATCCAAACCACATCACCGAGCCTGTAAACCATGAAGTCAGGACCACATGAACCAGTGGTGATAGCAACTGTTGCTGTGTACTGTAGCATCCCTTGGCCAACCATGATCCAATCCCCTGGGTTCAAACGCGAGGGGGGGCCCAGTCGTCTAAGGCGCCACATTTCGCTGTGCAGAGTTGCGTCCCTTGGGCACGCCAGAAACCTATGATTGTGGGTTCGAATCCCGGTTCACCCCAATTATGTTTCTAGGTTTGTCGGCACCATACCCGTGCTCGTGGGTTTCACCGAAGTGGTAAACGTCTTAGACCTGCATCACTTCGGGTTTCCTCCCACATTAAGCTGGCACGCCGCGATATAACTTGAATACTGTTAAAAGCGGCGTTAAACCCAACTCACTCACTCACTCACTCACTCAAACGTGAGACTTGCCCTCGGCATGATCAGTAGTTTGTCGGGGTAGCCCAGTGGTTAAAGCGTTCGCTCGTCACGCCGAAGACCCAGGTTCGATTCCCGACATGGGTACAATGTGTGAAGCCCATTTCCGGTGTCCCCCGCCGTGATATTGCTGGAATATTGCTAAAAGCGGCGTAAAACCATACTCACTCACTCACTCAGTAGTTTGTCAGGACCATAGCAGGGTTTCATAAACAAGGTGAAAGACCAGGGCACTGTTCCACAAAGCGATCTTAGTTTTATGACAGTCCTAAGCCAGTGTTAAAGTATGGGAGTTTCGATCACCTTAGCAGTAAGATGGCTTTATAGAATGGGGCCCATCAGGTTTAAGCCACATTAAGCTGACACGCCGTGATGTAACTTAAATACTGTTCAAAGCGGCGTACACACCACTCACTCACTCACTCACACACACACATTAATGGGCATAAATTCTCTATCATGAATCATATCATGACCCTGTGCATGGTTTGGCTGCTCCAGACTTGAACCTGGAATATGTGACATAGCTGGCAGGGGTGATAAATCTCACCCCATTCAACTTACACTATGGACGTTCTGTTGACATTTGAATGTTTTCACTTCAGGGTTACTACAAGGACACCGTGGAGTTCTTCTTTGACAGTCGGAATGAATGTAAGGGGTTTTGGAAGAAATGCATTGAGCACCATGGCTTCTTCCGGTGTCAGGCTGTTCGAAAAGTGCCAAGAAACAAAACCCGAGTGGTCAGTCGAGGATCATCATTCAGGTGGGTTATCTGCTGCTGGCCGGGGTGGTCGGGTAGCCTAGTGGGTAAAGCGTTCGCTCATCACGCCGAAGACCCGGGTTCGATTCCCGACATGGGTACAATGTGGGAAGCCCATTTCTGGTGTCACCTGCCGTGATATTGCTGGAATATTGCTAAAAGCGGCGTAAATCCTCACTCACTCACTCACTCACTCACTCACTCACTCACTCACTCACTCACTCACTCACTCATCTACTGCCTTTCCCTTCGACCCGTGAAGATTCCGGGGTAGAATAGGTCTTCAGCAACCCTTGCTTGCCGTAAAAGGTGACTATGCTTGTCGTAAAAGGCGACTAACGGGATCGGGTGGTCAGGCTCGCTGACTTGGTTGATGCATGTCATCGTATCCCAATTGCGTGGATCGATGCTCATGACATTAATCACTGGATTGTCTTGTCCAGACTCGATTATTTACAGACCGCCGTCATATAGCTGGAATATTGCTGAGTGTGGCGTTAAACAACAAACCAACCAACAACCAAAGTTTTCCTTTCAAGCTGACTTCCCTCCCAGTCCATGAGCCAGACCAGATACTGGTACCACCTGGGATGGCAAAATCTCAGTATCATTTTTTGAAAGTCATATATCCATAGATGAAAAAAAACTTTGAAAGCAATCCGGGAATCACAGCTTAGTGGTAGTAATCACGACATAAAGGGGGACCCCAGAGTCGAATCCACGGGACTAGATTTCAGGGTAGGGGAAACCAGAAAGTGGAATAACTTTACAAGCAATAGTCATATGGTGAATTATGACCACTCAAAATGTTGGTAACCTGATGCTCTACATGTTGGTATGTAATTTAGGACTAATACAGTAATAATAAAGGTCACCAGAGGTCAAAGAGTCACAAAATTTGACCCCTGCTTAAGAAAATATCTGCTGCCTTTCCTTTCATGCTGATTCGTGAGCATCAGGGTAGATTAGGTCTTCAGCAACCCATGCTTGTCCCCTGTGAAGATCCAGGTTAGAATAGGTCTTCAGCAACCCATGCTTGTCCCCTGTGACTATGCTTGTCATAAAAGATGACTATGCTTGTCGTAAGAGGTGCCTAACGGGATCAGGTGGTCAGGCTCGCTGACTTGGTTGATGCATGTCATCGATCCCAATTGCGTGGATCGATGCTCATGATATTTATCACTGGATTGTCTGGTCCAGACTCGATTATTTACAGACCGCCGTCATATAGCTGGAATATTGCTGAGTGTGACGTTGAACAACAAACCAACCAACCAACTTATATGTAACTGTGTACCATGTAAACACATAGTAGAATAAACTGAAGGATATGTTCTCATGGAAATTCTCTAAATGTACAGGTACAGCGGTCGAACCCAGAAACAGCTGATGGAATTTGTCCGTGGCAACATCGATAAACGGCAGCAGTTTGAAAGGTGGGTTCGTTGTTGTGTAATTGTGACTCGACACAGAAGTTGTGGAAATGAGAATTACAAAGCTATGGTATAACGCCTGTGGTATATCTAGGCGTTACAGTGTAGGGATTACAAAGCTATGGTATAACGCCTGTGGTATATCTAGGCGTTACAGTGTAGGGATTACAAAGCTATGGTATAACGCCTGTGGTATATCTAGGCGTTACAGTGTAGGGATTACAAAGCTATGGTATAACGCCTGTGGTATATCTAGGCGTTACAGTGTAGGGATTACAAAGCTTTAGTGTAACAGCAGTGGTAAATGTAGGCGTTACAGTGTAGGGATTATAAAGCTTTAGTGTAACAGCTGTGGTAAATCTAGGCGTTACAGTGTAGAGATTACAAAGCTTTAGTGTAACAGCTGTGGCAAATCTAGGCATTACAGTGTAGGGATTACAAAGCTTTAGTGTAACAGCTGTGGTAAATCTAAGCGTTACAGTGTAGAGATTACAAAGCTTTAGTGTAACAGCTGTGGTAAATCTAGGCGTTACAGTGTAGAGATTACAAAGCGTTAGTGTAACACCTGTGGTAAATCTAGGCGTTACAGTGTAGAGATTACAAAGCATTAGTGTAACAGCTGTGGTATATCTAGGCGTTACAGTGTAGAGATTACAAAGCTTTAGTGTGACAGCTGTGGTAAATCTAAGCGTTACAGTGCAGGGATTACAAAGCTTTAGTGTAACACCTGTGGTGTATCTAGGCATTACAGTGTAGGGATTTACAAAGCTGTAGTATAATCCTATGATTAAGTCCAGGATTATTGTGTAAAGCTTAGGTAAATCAGCATTCTGAAACTCATAACACCTCGACACCAACAACTGCCCTGTAAAACACCTCGCCACTAACTAATGGCTGAAAGATGGTTTGTGTGATGCTCAATAATATATTCTATGGCTCCGTACAAGACTAATTTTAGCCTAGGTTGATTAATCTTTTCATTGATATATTAACCGCTTCCTAATTTGCAGTGTTTTTGTTTTAATTCATGCTTTGAGATAACAGTGGGTGCTACAGACGTCGAAGCGATCCTTGCTGATATTTTGTAGTTACTGACGTGGAATATATGCTACTCAGCTGTTGATAAGGATTATCCAAAATGTCGTTCTATTTAAGTATACACTTGACATATGAAAATCAGTTTTTTGTATCATGGAAAGATAAAAAATATCCCTTTCAAAAGTGTGGTATAGTATAGTTATTGCTGATCAGCTATAGTTGTCAATATGTCTTCAAAATGTCTGCGGGGGCACGGGTGGCCCAGTCGTCTAAGGCGCCGCGATTCGCTGTGCAGAGTCGCATCCCTTGGGCACGCCAGAAACCTATGATTGTGGGTTCGAATGCCGGTTCACCCCGATTATGTTTCTAGGTTTGTCAGCACCATACCCGTGCTATGGGTTTCACCGAAGTGGTAAACGTCTGAGACCTGCATCACTTCGGGCTTTTCTCCCACATTAAGCTGACACGCAGTGATATAACTGGAATACTGTTAAAAGTGGCGTTAAACCCAACTCACTCACTCATTCACTCAAAATGTCTGCAAATTCTTAATATATATATAATATATATTTACGGATGGGTTTCACAATTTGGCTAGCACATTTTGACTTTTTGGAATGCTTTGAATCCAGATTCCCTTTCCATACAGTGATCTTAGGACTAAGACAGTTGTATTCCCCATTCTTTAACATAGACACTGATAGCGCTAAGACAGTTGTATCTCCCATTCTGTGACATAGACACTGGTAGCATTAAGACAGTCGTATCCCCCATTCTTTAACATTATGATCGCTTTGTCTAGCTCTGCGCAATGACTGAGTCCACTGTACACACTATAATCCTTGATGTTGTGCTTTTAGACTTTTGAAAGAAACACCTTTCTTTTGAAGAAATAATATATTAGATATCTGCTTTGTTTTATTTTTGCCATCCCATGGATTGCAGGAAGTAAGTAGAGTTATCTCCCTTGGCTGCTGATTGCATGACACACACAGTACTATCCTCGTAACGCGGGGGCATTATGCCATTTTGTCCACACACAAGACGTCAAGTCCAGACTGTGACGTATTGCCATGAGTCAATTGAAAATCTGCACTACTTGCTTTCTCTGAAAATCTAGTTTTACGACATAAACCACAAGCCTGCCATGATCGAGCCGTGCAAGGATTGGTTGAATTTAACAACTGATTCGCCCTGGCACAGCCAGAATTCAGTGGCAGGCAAACTCCAGCTAGTGTTCTATGTGGTTTTCTCCCAGTTTCACATTAATTTACACTTTTGGAAAAGCAAATCTTTTACTTTGAAAGTTTGGCTTAAAATGCCCCTCTGTGGAGAGGATGATCTGTGAAGGATATTGTGCTATTCACTTATGTTTTACTGGAAGTATAGCATGATAAGAGGGCTTTGTTAGAATCAGTTGCAAAACATTCAATGAGAAGTTATATAACTAGCTTACGTTGTACATTAAGTACAATCACATGCATATGTCTTGTAAGTAGCTTTATGTATTGCCATCTATATACTACTCAAAAAAAGTTAAGGAACAACCGATGACCGATAAACTATAGACCATGGTCCCATTCCACAAAGCGATCATAGCGCTAAGACTGCCATAGGTTTCTTTTAAAGTATGGTTGTTACGATCGTCTTAGCGCTGCGATCGCTTTCTGGAACAGGGCCCATGACAAAAATTGGGCGTTCTTAAACTTATTTTGAGTAGTATATTTTGAAGTCACACTGCTACTTCAAAAGCACTTTGTATCACCGAGGCTTAAAATGTCTTATGTCTCATCAGTGTGAGTGTCCTGCCTTCATCTGTGTAGAACATGGTGGATGTGTGTTTATAGTGTTAGGTAAAGTGTTGTAGATTTTCATATCACGGTTATTATGCATGTGAAGATCTGGGTAGAGAATAGAACTTCAGCGACCTGTTCTTGCCATAAGAGGCAACTATGCTTGTCGTAAGAGGCGACTATGCTTGTCGTAAGAGGCGACTAATGGGATCGGTCGGTCAGGCTCACTGACTTCGTTGATGCATGTCATCGTGTCCCAATTGATCGATGGTTATGATGTCAATCACTGGATTGTCTGGTCCAGACTGGATTATTTACAGACGGCCGTCATATAGCTGGAATATTGCTGAATGCGGCATTAACCAATAAACAAACGTGGAAATTGTCTGGGCAGATTCTGGGTCAGAATAGGTTCACAACACCCGATGTTTGTCAAACGAGCTAAGGGTAAAATGAGGATTGGTGTTCAATATGCTAGCTGTCACACCCTGGTGTTCAATATGCCAGTTATTGCATCCTTGGTGTTCAAAATGCCAGTTATTGCATCCTTGGTGTTTAATATGCTAGCTGTCAAACCCTGGTGTTAAATATGCCAGCCGCCACACCCTTGTGTTCAATATGCCAGTTATTGCATCTTTGTTGTTAAATATGCCAGCTGTCACACCCTGGTGTTAAATATGCCAGCTGTCACACCCTGGTATTAAAATTTGCCAGTTATTGCATCATTGGTGTTAAATATGCTTGCTGTCACACCTTGGTGTTCAATATGCCAGCTGCCACACCCTGGTGTTCAGTGTGCCAGGTATTGCATCCTTGGTGTTTAATATGCTAGCTGTCACACCCTTGTGTTCAATATGCCAGTTATTGCATCCTTGGTATTCAATATGCCTGCTGTCACACCCTGGTGTTCAATATGCCTGCTGTCACAGCCTGGTGTTCAATATGCCAGTTATTGCATCCTTGGTATTCAATATGCCTGCTGTCACACCCTGGTGTTCAATATGCCTGCTGTCACAGCCTGGTGTTCAATATGCCAGTTATTGCATCCTTGGTGTTCAATATGCCAGCTGTCACAGCCTGGTGTTCAATATGCCAGTTATTGCATCCTTGGTGTTCAATATGCCAGCTGTCACACCCTGGTGTTCAATATGCTAGCTGTCACAGCCACACACAGGCAGTATTGATGTCTCTAGTATTGAAGAGCTGCGTGGTCATTATGTTACATAATGCATGTTTGTTTGGCCAGTCAATATTGCCATAAGGCGCTCTAAGGAATAGGCCGTCAGCAACCCATGCTTGCCGTAAAGGCCATTATGCTTGTCGTAAGAGGCAACTAACAGGATTGGGTGGTCAGGCTCATTGACTTGGTTGATCCCCATTGCGAAGATCGATGCCCATGATGTCAATCACTAGATTGCCTGGTCCAGACTCAATTGTTGACAGACCGCCGTCATATAGCTGGAATATTGCTAAGCATGGCGTTAAACAATAAACAAACCAAACCAAATCAATCAAAATCGATACAATATGACTGAACCAGCCATTTATTTAAATACCAGCTAAGATGGGTCATCTTTGATTCTCCATTGTATGATAACACTGTAAAGTGATGTCACCATCTCTGTTTGTCTTACTGATAGCTCCTCTTTCCGTTTGTGTTATTATTAACAACAAAATGATTCTGTAAATAATAACCCTGAAGAGACCAGGGTAAGAATTGGTTCCATCTCTGCATTGCTGGGGGCAGGGTGGCCCAGTTGCCTCCCTTAGGCATGCCAGGAAACTATAATTGTGAGTTCCAGTCCCAGATACGTGATTGTTTGTAGGTTTGTCAGCACCGTACCCCTGCTTACTGGTTTCACGAAAGTGGTGAACATCAGAGACCTGCATCACTCCATTGCTTGTTTTTAGAGCTGAATTATTGGACCAAAGTTTGGCGCCTCAGTTGATTTCGTGGCCCAAACTCGATTCGGCACAGTCTGCCTTGATAAAGCTTGATTACTGCTGGCTCAGCGAGCACCAGTGCTCCAGATAACTTCTTTAGCCATTGAGTAACGTGGGTCACATGTTGCATAAACTCACATCAATATACATGTCGAATTAACAATAATAGGGATGAAGCGCCTTGTGTGGGCATTATATACTATATAGACTACAGCATATATGTGATGCCTGCATTTGAAAAAAATATAGAACTATAAAAAAATACATTACAAGTTGAAAGGATACGTTGAAAAATTATTTACTCAAAGTATTGGTATTTTATACATATGTCTTTACACAAATAACTCAAAATTATTTGCATAATTTTTTCAAATAACCAGGTTATCTGGAGTTCGGGTTCACTCGCTGACTCTAAAACTAATGTAAGCAAGATAAACTCCAGAAAGCTACACGAGAGTCATATTTCCCCAGTTATTGAGATATAAAATTGAGTAAGCTCAAATTATCTCAAGGGTATAGAAAGGTGGGCAGGCTGTATTTTAGTATTGTGATGACGAGGAAAGGTTATTACAGGAAGGGTACTAATTATGTCGATTATGATAAATTAACGTAATGCTTATAATAACTTATGTATGTATTCTTTTTAACCAAAATATTAACCATAGAAAATATTAACAGTGAAAATGTGCAAAGAGGACAAATACTTAGTGACGCTTTTTTGTTGATTTGTTAAAAATGACAAAAGTTAGAAATATGGAATAGGTTCACATTTGTTAGGAGGAAGTTCAAGTCATACAGTATACGAAACATAATCAAATTTGGTTATTTTTTCAGATCGGCAAGTGGTCGGATCTCGAGCCGGAGCACCAGCGTGACACCAAAGATTACACTGAAGACTAATACCCACAATTCCTCAGACCTCCACAACAGCACAGCTTCCAGTGGCTCCCACACCCTCGACATCACGCAGGACAACCACGTCAGCCCTATGAGTCGTGTGGAGACTGCCGAGGTCCACAGCGACAGCTCCATGTCCGGGAGCCGCTCGCTCGGCTCCCCGAAACTGGAACACATCCCCGTTGGGGAGGCAACAGCGGCAGCCATGATGCGGAAGGAGGACAGTGTTGATTCCAGGACAGAAGCCGATGATAGAGGTGCAGATTCAGATCTCGATAAGTTGAAACAAAATATAATTATTAATAATATTGCCATGCAAAATGAACCATCAGCCAATCAAAATGCAAATGACAATGATGATAACACATCCCAGGACTCGTATCACCTTGAAGGGGAGGAGAGGGTGGGGAAGGGGAGAGAACCAGGGGTTAAATCGGTAACATTTTCTCCCGAAGATAGTCCCAAGTTGAAGAGTGTTAATGACACAAATGTAATAAACAATGTATCTGCTTCAGAGAAATCTACTAACCATATAGACAGACTTGCTGAGAGTCAGGCAGCTGATAGGCCAGATCTAGCTAAACTAAACACTACTAACCTATACCCTAAGGTGAATGGGGAGATCCCACCCAGTGCATGTATAACAGCTAGTGTGTATGGTAGAGAGGCCGAATCTCCTCAAGGGGAGGGAAGGAAGGATGTTATTGGTGATAATATTGTAAGTGCATCTCTGAAACCTGATGTGGACAGTTTCACTGACAAGAGGAAATATTCTGCTGATACTGATCTCATCGTGGATATTCCATACACCCTTCATCGACGGTTAAAGGGGGAGTCCGAGAACAAAGAAGAGACTGCATTCTTCAAATCCCCAGAAGGTGCCTCAACGAAAGAGTCGCGACCAAGGGACAAGAGTCCAGGTCGGCCGCCAACTGATTCTGAACCACTCCAAGCTGTGGATATTCCTCTGTCACCTCCTCTCAAACATAATACTATAGGAAAATCCTCCTCGTTGGAAAGGTCCCCTTCAACCTTGCGGAGGTTCGAGCTCGTCAGTTGTCACAAGCTGCCGTCAAGGACCAGCTACTCCTCAGTGGATGACACCACGAGTCCTTCGTTCGAAAAGGAGATCCTCAAACAGCTCGAGGACAAAATGCAAGATGATGAAACCGTGCCAAAAGCTGATGAGCAATGCAAAACTAACATTATTGGTGAAGGGGCACCTGTTCCTTTGCCAAAGGCAGTGCCAGAAACCAGTGTAGCTAAGGCTGTAAATGGCCAAACCAGTGTAGCTGAGGCTGTAAATGTCAAAACCAGTGTAGCTGAGGCTGTAAATGGCAAAACCAGTGTAGCTGAGCCTGTAAATGGCAAAACCAATGCATCTGAGTCTGTAAATGGAAGACATAGTGTTGAAAAGTGTGAGATGACAAGTATTGTGTCTTCTAAACCTGCCAGTGATAAGTCAGTTTCAGAATCAGGTGCTTATGTGTCTGTGGAGGTGCGGAAACCACAGGCGGTCGGAGCACCCCTAGGTAAACCTGCTAAACCGCCCAGAGAAAAACGCCCAGAAGTAGCACTGGACCCCAAGAGAGCCTCATCATCGTCCACATCATCCGAGTCGTCAGCTATATCTTCCACAAAAGAACCTGCTCACATAGCAATAGACTCCAAGATCTCAGTCCCAGCCAGCCAAACCCTTGACAGTAAGTCGCCAATGCCAGCTCCACCAAGTCCTGTCCTCAAGGATGCATCGCCAACATCTTCTGAAGAATCTTCTAACATCAACACATTCGGGGTTCCAAGGACTGCTGCTTTTGGAACAGATGGTCCCTGCATGACAGAAAATCCTCAACAGTTTGTGTTAGATGGAGAAAAGGATCCCTGGTTTGCCGTGAAACCTGAATTAAAATCTACGCACATGGTAGCTCCCAATCCACAGGAAGAACAGAAGGAGAGATTGAAGGTGGACAGTTCTGGGAATCCGTTAATCTTCGACCTGCCGTCTCCTGCAGCAGCTTTTATATATAGTGATGAGGACAGTCCGCCATCAAAGAAGGAAGACACATCAGCAGCCTTGACCTTCTCAACATTTAGACCAGAACCTGGAAGCGATGGTCAGTTAGATCCGTCATACATTCGTGAGAAGAAGGAACCGATTGACTCAATGAAGCGGAGGTCATTGAACAGGGTTGAAGAAGAGGAAGAAATGACAGCCGAAGCAATCACTGCCGTAACAGCAGAACCGAAACCCGAACCTAAGCGTGTCAGTTTCCATGAAGATGTTGACATTGGTCAAAGTTTCCATAGCGACGTGAGCATGATGGTGATGAGAAGCCCCGTGGATGACCGCGACGACTCCAGTTTTGGAGGAAGTGGTCATGGAGAAGGTTTGGACTCGGGCGATATCTTGGATACGCTAGAGAACATGTGCAGCCATGGGTCGGAGAGTGACATGACGTACAGCGGAAGCTCTGGAAGTGAGAGTGACACGGAATCCGATATGGATGACACCATGGCAAAGGAAATCTATGCGCAGTATGCAGCTACCAAGTGCCTCGCGGAGTCAGGCAAGGACATGACAATAGACTCGGGGGTCGGTGAACTCAGTGAAGGCACGACACATACCAGAGAAGTCTCGCCTCTCGAGTCACTAGAGCACCTTGACACCATGGATGGTAGTTTTGTTGCAGACAAGGACGATGATTTTAAGTTTCCTCCGCCTCCTCCAGAGCTGCAAGAACCTAGTGATAATTCATCCTCATCTGCCGAAATTGAGATGCATCCACATCGTCAAAAACGCTACAGTATCGACCCGCTAGCCACACTTGAACGCCCTGACATCGCCGACATTGAATACACGACGAGCGAGAGTGAGAGTGACTTTGAGGAGACACCTCCTGCGAAGAAGCCACCACCTCCCCCTGTTGCTGCCAAACCGAAGCCGGAGTTCATCAAGGAGAAGTTCGGGAACGAGAGTCAGACCTGAAGTCAGCTCTAATTAATTGTACATTATCTTTTTATGACAAGTTGATGATTTATTTCTGTGAGAAAAATCAATATTTTGAAAAATTCATCCCACTTTTTGAATACAAAGTGTCATGCTTTCTTTATTAGAAAGGGAGATAAATCATGTAACATCATTGAAGGATTATATTTATGGAATTTCTTCATGTTTGAAATAATATCACAATGTAAAAAAGTAATTCTGCTGTCCAGTATATCCAGTGTAGACTTCTATCTTTTGATACTAACCGTCTGAGTTATTCTTGTATCAAACATTACGAGTTTAGCATTGGATTATTTCTTCATACTTTTCTGTGTTCTAATCAAGGGAATTAGTCAGACGTGTTCAAATTTTGTTTAACCATTGTAACAGATCTTGATTGAAGACGTTGGGCTGGTTGCATGTAAATTGGTATGAATAATAAGGTTAGCATAAAAAGCTTATTTGTCAAGTTAGATCAATGACTTTTTACAAAGTTACGAATGAATATTTTGTTGTTGCATACAAAATACAGAATTTTTTTGTTTGTCTCTTTTTATATTATAAATATATATTGATCAGTAGGACAGCTTGTGGTATTTCTATCAGATCTATAGGCATCAAGATGGATTATCCATATTTAACATGTTTATCATCCTGCTCCAAGAATTCCTGGAAATAAACGAAAATCAATTCTCATGGAATTGCTAAGCGATGTGTCCAAGTAGGTCTGATTTGAACCATGACAGAATATTGCTGCCAGTGTAAGCACATTGGGAGTGTTTTTATATAACTGTCTGTTAAAACCTTCAGTTCCACCAAAAAACAGAGCATTCCATAATGAATTGGTCACAACACTACCGTCAATCCTCAAATAGACGCTCTTCAGAAATGTGAAAAATATTTTGGTGTATTTTGTAAAAATATGTTGCTGTTTCACAAAACGATCTTAACATGCTTAACGCTAAGATAAAAATAATTCCCATACTTTAACATTGATGTAAAACAGAGCAGTGTTGAGATGTCATAGTGCTAAGATGATCGTATCTCCCTTACATTAACATTGACCTACAACAGTCGTAGCACTAGGACGATCGTAACTCCCTTACATTGGCGTAGGACAGAGCAGTGTTGAGATGATCGTGACTCTAATACACTCATAGTGCTAAGATGATCGTATCTCCCTTACATTAACATTGTCCTATGACAGTCGTAGCACTAGGACGATCGTAACTCCCTTACATTAACATTGACCTACAACAGTCGTAGCACTAGGACGATCGTAACTCCCTTACATTAACATTGGCGTAGGACAGAGCAGTGTTGAGATGATCGTGACTCTAATACACTCATAGTGCTAAGATGATCGTATCCCTTACATTAACATTGACCTACAACAGTCGTAGGACTAGGACAATCGTAACTCCCTTACATTAATGTAGGACAGAGCTGAGTGTTGAGATGATCGTAACTCCAATACAGTCATAGTGCTAAGAGGATCATATCTCCCTAATATTAACATTGACCTACAACAGTCGTAGCACTAGGACGATCATAACTCCTTTACATTAACATTGACCTACAACAGTCGTAGCACTAGGACGATCGTAACTTCCTTACATTAACATTGACCTATGACAGTCGTAGCACTAGGACAATCGTAACTCCCTTACATTAATGTAGGAGAGAGTTGAGATGATCGTAACTCCAATACAGTCATAGTGCTAAGACGATCATATCTCCCTAATATTAACATTGACCTACAACAGTCGTAGCACTAGGACGATCATAACTCCTTTACATTAACATTGACCTACAACAGTCGTAGCACTAGGACGATCGTAACTTCCTTACATTAACATTGACCTATGACAGTCGTAGCACTAGGACAATCGTAACTCCCTTACATTAATGTAGGACAGAGCTGAGTGTTGAGATGATCGTAACTCCAATACAGTCATAGTGCTAAGACGATCATATCTCCCTAATATTAACATTGACCTACAACAGTCGTAGCACTAGGACGATCGTAACTCCTTTACATTACCATTGACCTACAACAGTCGTAGCACTAGGATGATCGTAAGTAGAGTAGTGCAAGATGATACTAACTCCCATATTTTAACATTGATCAGCACTAAGATCACTTTGTGGAAGACTTTAGGCTTCAGACTGAGGATTGATGGTAGTCCTTTTATCCTTTTTGTGAGAGCTGAAGATCAGTAGCATACTCCTGGCATAATATGTTGGGAGGAGTAAGAGATAGGGATGGCA